CTGATGAATGATTAGTAAGACCTTTGAATAAATATTATTTTTAGAAATTTGTATTCAGAGTCACCTTTTTTGAGATCTCTGCCCACCTCCTGCAGACATATAGCTTAGTTATCCCTTCTGCTTTCTCATCCAAGGTTTCTGGAGCAAATTAAGCAATAATTCCCTAAGGAATTTTTATATGTAATGAATTAACCTCCCTAATATGCATCTACAGTGGTACTAGTAATGTACCATCCTTGAGAGAATTGGGAAATAGTCACTCATAAGATTTTCTGTGGTTCAGATGAGGATCCCCAATTATCAAAGGATATACAAATCAGGTCATCTTGGCTGCTTTTTTATGGCAGTAATGATGATGGTACTGCTTTTATCAATCCTTCAGGGGCTCCCTTGTATGTTTTACTTATTTATCTCTTTAGCTTTTATCATTAAGCATGAAGTCTGGTACATAGGTAAGTCAATAATGTAGCATTTTAAAAATGGTTCTTTTTTTGGTTTTGTTTTGAGAAATCCTTTCCTATACTGAGATCTACATTTTCTTCTGTACAGTTTAAAGTTAGTCTTTTGCATTCAGGTCTGTGATATACCTGAAATTAATTTTTCTGTGCCAATTACAGATTCACTTGAAATTTTTTTGCCATGTGGGTATATTCGCATTAATTGTATTTTCCCCACATCAATTTTTATTCCAAGTCAATTTTACTGTTAGGTTTTCAATCGTTTTTTTTCGCTATGTGCCTAGATATGTGTCTAAATTATCTTTTCTGTTCCATCAGTCTCTGTGTCTGTCTTTGCAAACTGTCTTAATTATTTTAGCTTTTTAAAAAAATTTTAATTTTAAAGCTGTGGGGTACAATTTAGAGTTAGGTATACAGATGTTAATTATGTAGGTACCCATGTTGATGAGGTGTGCCCCTCACCCCCGACAGTTTCTCACTACTGCCAATCCCTTTCTTATTTTGGCTTTTCAATAATATATGTCTAGTGGGGTAAGTCCTTTTCTACTTTATATTTTATTTTATAGTTTATATTTACACTATAAATTATAGGTTGTACATTTTATGATGTTCTTTTTGTTTTTGCTCTTCCAAATATATTTTAGAATCAGCTTGTAATGTTCTTTGAAAAATCCATTAGGATTTTCACTGGAATATAGTAGATTAATTAGAAGAGACTTGAATATTTATGATAACATTGTTCACTAAATGTTTATGGAATACTTTCTGTGTATTGGGAACTGGAAATAAAACAGAATAAAACTTACAAATATCCTTGGGCTTATATTCTGGTGGAAGGAGATAGACCATAAACAAGATAGATAAATTATATACTATATGTATACTATATACTTTATTATATACTCATTAGTCACAAAAGTTTTATAGTCTCAAACTGGGAACAATCTGAATGTTCATCAGCTAGGATATCCATAAATGGAGTACTACTCAGCAATAAAAAGGAACATAAGGAATATACTGTGTATATATGCAGCAACACAGATGATTCTTTAAAATGTTATACTAGGTATAAGAAGCCAGATATAATAGACTACATATTACATGATTCCATTTATGTGAAATTTCTGCAAAAGGCAAAACTATAGCAACAGAAAGTGTGGGCCTTGATATGGGAATTGGGATTGATTACGAGAGTATGAGGGAACATTTTGGACTCTAAATTGAATTGTCATACCAAGTTTGTGGCTCACACCTGTAATCCCAGCACTTTGGAGGCCAAGGCAAGAGAATTGCCTGAGCCCAGAGGTTTGAGACCAATCTGGGCAACTTGGCAAGATCTTGTCTCTGCAATAAATAAAAAACTTGGCCTGGTGTGGTGACTCATACCTAAAATCCCAGCACTTTGGGAGGATGAGGTGAGAGGATTGCCTGAGCCCACGGGTTCTAGACCAGCCTGGGCAACTTGGTGAGACCTCATCTCTACAATAAATCAAAAAATTAGCCTGACTTGGTGGTGCATGCCTGTAATTTCAGCAACTTGGAACACTGGGGTGGAAGGATCACTTGAGCCCAGCATGTTGAGGCTGCAGTGGCCGTGAGCATGCCACTGCACTCCAGCCTGGGCAAAAGAATGAGACTTTGACGCAAAAAAAAAAAAAAAAGAAAAAAAAAGTAACTGGGCATGGTGGTGCACGCTTGTAGTTCCAGCTACTCGGGTGGCTGAGGAGGAAGGATTGTCTGAGCCTAGTAGGTCAAGGCAGCAGTAGCCATGAGCCTGCCACTGCACCCCATCCTGGGCAACAGAATGAAAGTTTGATGAAAATAAATACATATACGCATACATCCATACTGAATTGTGATGATGGCCGCACAAGTGTATAAATTTACTAAACTAATTGAAGTGTATACTTACAATGGACAAATTGTATGGTATGTAAAATATATCTCAATTAAAGCTGTTTAAAATAATTATATGCTGGCCAGGTACAGTGGCTCATGCTTATAATCCTAGCACTTAGGAGGCCAGGGCAGGAGAATTCCTTGAGCCCAGGAGTTTGAGACCTGCCTAGGCAACATAGCAAGACCTCAGCTCTACAAAAAAATCAAAAAATTAGCTGGGTGAGGTGGTGCTTGCCTGTAGTCCCAGCTACTCGGGAGACTGAGGCAAAAGGATCGCCTGAACCCAAGAGGTCAAGGTTGCAGTGAGCCATGATCATGCTACTGCACTTCAGCCTGGGCAACAAAATGGGCTCAAACCAAAAAGAGAAAAGAAGATATGCCAACTTTGAAAACATGCTAAGTGAAAGAAGCCAATCACATTAAAAAAACACATGTTGTATGATCTCATTTATGTAAAATGTCCAGAATAGACAAATTCATGGAGATAAAAAGCAGAATAGTGATTGCCTAAGATGGGAGTGGAGGGGAGGTCCAGGAGGGAAGTAAGGAATGACTTGCTAATGGGCACAGGGCTTCTTCTTGGGTTCATGAAAATATGCTAAAATGGCTTGTGATAATTGCTCACATAAATATACCAAAAACTATTGAACTTATGCTTTAAATGGGTGAATTGTGTGATGTGTAAATTATCTCAATGAAGCAGCTGTTACAGATAATATATAACATTATATGCTGTATTTGAGAGAGAATTAGTGAGGTGGGGAGATGATGGTGGTGGTGGTAGGTTGGTCAGGAACACTTCACTGAGACAGCAACAGTTGAGCAAAGGGTTGAAAGAGCTGAAGAACTGAGCCATGTGGATACCCATGGAAAGAACTTTCTGGGAAGATAGGGTAAAGATCCTGAAAGGGGCATGTATCTGGCATGTTTGAGGAGCAGCAGTGAAGCCAGTGTGGTTGAAACATACTGTGCAAGGGAGAGGGCAATAGGAAATGAAGTTGGGAGACGGGATCATATAGGCTATTGTAAGGGCTTGATTTTTACTGTGACTTATATGGAGAGTCACTACAGGTTTTTTTGTTTTGTTTTTTAATTTTTAGAGACGAGGTCTTGCTAGGTTGCCCAGGCTAAAGTGCAGTGACTGTTCACAGACACAATCATAGTGCACTGCAGCCTCAAACTCCTGGGCCCAAGCAATCCTCGTGCCTCAGCCTCCCAAATAGGGCTTATTAGGCATATGCCACCGTTGGTGCCCGGCTACAAGGCAGGGTTTTGAGGAGTGACTTGATTTGACATAAATTTTTAACAGTAGCTGTTGTGCTGAGAGTACATGGAAAGGTAGCGTGAGTAGGAACAGGGATACCAGTTAGAAGGCAGCAATCCAAGAGAGAGATAAGAGTGACTTAGACCAGGTTTGAAAAAAGGTAGTCAGTTTCTGTATATATGTTAAAGAAAGTAGACACAGGATTTGCTGACAGATTAGAAATGAGATGTGAGAGAAAGAAAAGAGTTAAAGAAGATGCCATGTTTTTTGACCAGAGCAACTGAGAGGGGGAAAATTGAGGTTAAAAGAAGTTTATGAGGCTGGGGTTGGTGGCTCAGCCTATAACCCCTGCACTTTGGGAGGCCAAGGCAAGTGGATTGCCTGAGCTCACAGGTTCGAAACCAGCAATAGGCAACTTGGCAAGACTTCATCTCTACAATAAATAAAAAAATTAGCCAGGCATGGTAGTGTGTGCATATAGTTCTGTCTACTTGGAAGGCTGAGGTGGAAGGATCACCAGAGCCCAGCAGGTTGACACTAGGGTGGCCGTGAGCGTGCCACTGCACTTCAGCCTGGGCGATGGAGTGAGACTCCAAGTCAAAAAAAAAAAAAAAAAAAGAAATTTATGTGAAAATGCCAGGAGTTCTATTTTCAATATGTTAGCAAAGCCCATCAGACTTCCAAGGACAGATTTGGGTAAGCAAATTGAATATGTAAATCTGCAGTCTAGGGAAGAGGTGCTCAAGTAAAGATTGTATTTAACTTTGGAAAACGATTGCTTGAGCCCAAAAGTTTAAGATCAGCCTGGACAGCATAGTGAGACCTCATCTCTACAAAAAACTAAGAAAATTAGCCAGGTTTAGTGGTAGTTTCAACTATCTGGGAGGCTGAGGTGGAAGGATCACCTGAGTCCAGAAGGTTGAGGCTGCAGTGATTGTGTCACCGCACTTTAGCTCGTGTGACCGTATGAAACCCTGACTAAAAAAAAAAAAAAAAAAAAAGCCAGGCTCGGTGGCTCAGCCTGTAA